GGCTATGCAAGGAGGGACAGCTGGCCAGCAGCATGAGCGCTGGTGACTGGCCTCAGGAAGGGGGGAGCTGGGTCCTCGTCGGCTCCTGTGGGTCAGCGGGTGAAGCTCAGGGTGGCCCTGGAGCCTGTGTGGCCCTTTGGGGCTTCCTGCCCTCCTCAGCCAGGACCCGCCGCTGCCCGCCCTCAGCAGACAGGGGCTGGTCTTGAGGTGGGGACAGCAGTCTGGGCCTGCCCCAGGCTCCAGGGAAACAGTTGCTTTGGGGACTGACCAGAGCCTTCCTGGCTCCCAGTGGTTCTGCTTCACAGCACGAGAGGTTCCTGATCACAGGATGAGAACAGACGAGTCCCAGACGAGGACGAGGCCCTAATGGTGAGGCAGGAGGCCCCTGGGGGAGGGCGAGGCGTGGTCTGCACGCGTGTGCGTGGTGAGGTGTCAGTGCGTGTTCTCATGCCTGCAGGACTGTGTGCCTGCGCTCCTTACGAGTGCACGCGCTGCTGGTGTGCGCGCGTGCCAGCATGAACCGTGTGTGCGCTCCCATTCCACAGGCCGTGTCTGTGTGTACGTGTGGAGCACGTACGTGTGCAGGTGCCTGCATGTATATGCAAATGCAGAAGCGTGCGTGTGAATGGGTACGTGGTGTGGAAGTGTGCGTGTGAATGGGTACGTGGTGTGGAAGTGTGCGTGTGAATGGGTACGTGGTGTGGAAGTGTGCGTGTGAATGGGTACGTGGTGTGGAAGTGTGCGTGTGAATGGGTACGTGCGGGTGTGGAAGCGTGCGTGTGAATGGGTACGTGGTGTGGAAGTGTGCGTGTGAATGGGTACGTGCGGGTGTGGAAGTGTGCGTGTGAATGGGTACGTGGTGTGGAAGTGTGCGTGTGAATGGGTACGTGGTGTGGAAGTGTGCGTGTGAATGGGTACGTGCGGGTGTGGAAGTGTGCGTGTGAATGGGTACGTGCGGGTGTGGAAGTGTGCGTGTGAATGGGTACGTGCGGGTGTGGAAGTGTGCGTGTGAATGGGTACGTGGTGTGGAAGTGTGCGTGTGAATGGGTACCTGGTGTGGAAGTGTGCGTGTGAATGGGTACGTGCAGGTGTGGAAGTGTGCGTGTGAATGGGTACATGCGGGTGTGGAAGTGTGCGTGTGAATGGGTACGTGCGGGTGTGGAAGTGTGCGTGTGAATGGGTACGTGGTGTGGAAGTGTGCGTGTGAATGGGTACGTGGTGTGGAAGTGTGCGTGTGAATGGGTACATGCGGGTGTGGAAGTGTGCGTGCGAATGGGTACGTGCGGGTGTGGAAGTGTGCGTGCGAATGGGTACGTGCGGGTGTGGAAGTGTGCGTGCGAATGGGTACGTGCGGGTGTGGAAGTGTGCGTGCGAATGGGTACGTGCGGGTGTGGAAGTGTGCGTGCGAATGGGTACGTGCGGGTGTGGAAGTGTGCGTGCGAATGGGTACGTGCGGGTGTGGAAGTGTGCGTGCGAATGGGTACGTGCGGGTGTGGAAGTGTGCGTGCGAATGGGTACGTGCGGGTGTGGAAGTGTGCGTGCGAATGGGTACGTGCGGGTGTGGAAGTGTGCGTGCGAATGGGTACGTGCGGGTGTGGAAGTGTGCGTGCGAATGGGTACGTGTGGGTGTGGAAGTGTGCGTGCGAATGGGTACGTGCGGGTACGTGCGGGTGTGGAAGTGTGCGTGCGAATGGGTACGTGCGGGTGTGGAAGTGTGCGTGCGAATGGGTACGTGTGGGTGTGGAAGTGTGCGTGTGAATGGGTACGTGCGGGTGTGGAAGTGTGCGTGTGAATGGGTACGTGCGGGTGTGGAAGTGTGCGTGTGAATGGGTACGTGCGGGTGTGGAAGTGTGCGTGTGAATGGGTGCGTGCGGGTGTGGAAGTGTGTGTGTGAATGGGTACGTGCGGGTGTGGAAGTGTGCGTGTGAATGGGTACGTGCGGGTGTGGAAGTGTGTGTGAATGGGTATGTGCAGGTGTGGAAGTGTGCGTGTGAATGGGTATGTGCGGGTGTGGAAGTATGCATGTGAATGGTATGTGCGGTGCATTGCTGAAGTGTGCGTGTGAATGGTATGTGTGGGTGCACGGCTGGGCATGCCCCTCGCAGTGAGGCCGGCGCTGGACAGCCTTTGTCTGTCTGTCTGCCTCTCTTCCTCTTTGACGCATCTCCAGCCTTCCCTCACCCTAGCCTCTCTCTGTTGGCGTCATTCCTTTCATAAATTCAGCCTGGACATGGTTTCCATGGAGTTCTGATAAAAACTGAAATTCAAATCATAATTGCAGGGAGCTGTTAGGGAGGAGGAGAGGGGAGCCTGGACCACATGGGGGAGGGGGGAGGGGAGGAGGGGAGGAGGGGGAGCCTGGATTACACAGCTCTGGCTGCTCCTTCCTTTAATGCATTTTTAGAACGTACACACTTGTATGTACGATTCTCTCATACCCTGTTGCCTAGCGATGGTGACGGATGCGCCAGCCGGCTCCCCCTGCCCAGGTCTTGGAACAAGGGTGGAGCTCAGAAGAGCTGTGAGGTGGGGGGCTCAGGGCTCCAGTTCTGGTTCGGGCGGGGTGGTGCTGGCGGTCAGGGCTGGCTGTTGTCCCCACTCTGCTCAGGAGCGGAACCCCTGGGTGGGAGGGTAGTTCTATCTCTAGGGCTTTTGAGGACCCTCCACCTCGCTTTCCATCGTGGTTGCACTCATTCTCAACCCTTGGCCAGCGTAGAAGGGCTCCTTGGTTCAAGATGAATGCCCAGCGCGCGTGCGTGGCACGTGGATGGACGCACATGGCCCTGGACCGAAGGGTCCACGTTGAGGTTTGCAATCTCCTTTATTGAGAGGGGAGGGGGAGGGGCTGTTCTATTCCGGTGAGTATTTGGAGGGAGACGGGGGCCACACAATGGGGTTCTGGGTTTTCCTGTCGCCACCGGGCTCCTGGTGCTCTAGACTCGGCAGCTGGATGTGCTTGTGGCAGCTGCAGACTCGGCTCCACGGTGACAAGGGCCAAGGGGATACCACGTCAGTGCCACGAGTGAGTCCTCACCCTGGAGGAAGAGAGGAAGAGCACCTCCGTGGACATCAAACACGTGCACATGAGCGTGAGGATGGCCGAGCCGCAGGCCTTGGGCGCAGCTTGGCTTGGGCTCCTGGTGCCAGCGGCCCTGGCCTGTCTGAGGGTCTGCTCTGCCGCTGCGGGCTGAGGCCTCAGACCAGACGGTGGGGCAGCCATGCTGGGTCTAATAAAGCGGCTGTTTTGTCGTCTGGTCTTTTTTGTGGTAGGGGAGCTGGGGGTGAACTCCGAGGCCGCTGCACTCCACCACCTGAGCCACATCCCCAGGCCACCATGTTGTCTTCGGAGGGGAAACCGAGGCTCGAGAAATTGTGGTACGCCTCAAACTCTGAGAACCTCACAGCCGATGGCTGTGCTGCCCAAGTCCAAGACCTCATCCATCGATGGGCCTGTTCGCAGCTTGTGCCTGCTGAGAGTGGCACCTCACTAGTTCAGGCCCCATAGGACTGGACAGGGCTCCCCTGTCCCGAGCTGACCCCCGTGGGGAGCTCCGGGTGGAGAAGGCTCCCTTCAGGCTGGGGTCAGTGAATGGGCCTGGTATGTCCAGACCCCGCCCATGGTGACCAGGAAAACCAGGTTAGCTGGCAGGGGTTTCGTGGGGTTCACTAGCATGCCGGCTCATCGAGTGGCAGGTCTAGCTGCCAGGAACACTGAGTCCTTCCATAGTTCAGGGCAGTGCGGGCCCTGCGCAGAGGCCCTGTGTCCCGAGGACATCGGCCCTGCAGACTGGCTGTCCGCTCCTGGGAATGTGGGCAGTGAATGGACTTGGCAAAAAGCCAAGCTCTGCCTCCTGGTCCTGCTGCTCCTGCTGCTCGGTCCAGGTCCCGTCTCCCCGAGCCGGGCAGCCTTCTTGGCAGGGACCTGGCCATCTTGTCCTGAGTGGAGAACCAAGTGTGCCTGTTCTTCTGTCCTGCGTGGGGCTGGCTCTGGGGGGCCAGGTGTGCCTGCTCTTCTGGGTGTCTAGCTGGGTGTCTGGGGCAGGCCACTGCTTGGTGGCTGGTGACCAAGGAGTATTCATCTCAGCTGAGGGCTGCTGGCCCATGGGGTGGGAGTGGGGTGTGGGGGGAGGGTGCTTGGCCCCTTCTCTTCCTGGAACGTGGGTCCTGGCACGTAGGTCCTTGCCTAGCCCACATCCATTTTCAAGATCCTCACCCTCGAGGCCCTCAAACCTCAGCCCACACAGCTGTGAAAGACCCAGCGGTGCCCCACGGGCCGCAGCTGGGAGGGAAAGGCCAGACGCCACAGGTCTGCCATCTCTGTACTCATCTGAGAGGCTGGGATCAAACGCCAACTGACAGCATCCCTGCTGGTCCTCCCCAGCGTGGCCAGGTGAGGACAGGCCGGAGAGGGACAGGGCTCTCCTCCCTGGGCCGTGCCAGCCCTGACTCCTTTGACTTTGTGGGAACGTGGAAGCCTGGGTCCCCTCCGTGGACCCTGACTGCCCAGGGGAAGGTAGAGAGATGGATGTCCTCACCCTCAGCCTCGGGCTCCAGGAGTGAAGGCACTGTCAGGAGGGTCTGGCTGTGAGGCCCAGAGCTGCGAAGCCCACTGGTCCTGGGGCTGGACCGGGGGGGGGGGGGGGGGAAGGGAGGGAGCCTGGCCCAGGCCCAGGGCCTGCTCTTTAGACACTGGTGGCCCTGCCTGGGGTCTGTGAGCCCATCAGCTGCCCATGGGCCCAGCCCCAGGTCACCCTCCTTCCCTTTCTCTAAAATCCATTAGTCTGCGAACAAAGGAAACGGCCTTCTCGCAATTAGCTTTTGATCAGTGAAAGGAGCCATCTCTGCTCTGGCTTTAAAGTGGGGGTGGTGAGGGAGGAGGGAGGGGAGGAGATGGGGAGGAGGGAGATGGAAAAGGAATGGGTGAGCGGCCGCAGGCCTGGTTTGCACGGCCAAGGACCAGTGCCCCATCACATGTGGCTGGCATGGGGCGGCTGCCTGGCCTAGTACAGCGTCTCCCGGGTGGCGCTGCTGGAGAAAGCGTGGTTGCTGGACACGCTGTTGGGCTTCCTGGAGAGCGCCGGCCTCTTCCTCCTGCGTCGCCACACGGGGCAGAGGCAGGTCAGTGTGGACAAGAAGACCTGGCGGAAGTTGGCGGAGACGAGGTTGTATAGGATGGGGTTGATGGTGGAGCTGACGTAGAAAAGCGCGTTGGTCAGCATGTAGAAGTAATGGTAGAAGTCGTAGAGGAAGCTGAGGGAGAGGGAGAGAGGTGCTCAGAGCTCGGCCATGGGGCCTGGGGGACTGCAGGGTGCTGGGGTCCCAGTGGCTGCCTGGGGTGCTTCTCCACGGGGCGTCTGGTGACAAGCCCAGCTCTGCTTCCTGGCCGGCCAGACCTGTTCCTGCAAAGGTTGGACCTGCCGGTCCCTCCGCCGTCTTCTCTGTCCAGCGGCCTCACCCAGGCCAGGGGCTCAGCACCCCTCACCCCTGCCTGCACGGGGTCCCCAGCGTCCCAGTACTCACGGGGTCCACTGCTCATCGGAGACGTAACAGAACATGAGGCGCCGCACGTGGTAGGGCAGCCAGCAGACCACAAAGGCAATGACCACGGCCCCTGAGAGAGAGAGAGAGAGAGGGAGAGAGGGAGAGAGAGAGGGAAGGAGAGAAAGAGAGAGAGATGGTCTCATGGGGACACCTTGACTTTGTAGATGGGAAGAAATGCTATTAAGATATTATTGCAAGCCAGGTGCTGGTGGCTCACACCTGTAATCCTAGTTACTCAGGAGGCTGAGATCTGAGGAGCGCGGTTCAAAGCCAGCCCAGGCAGGAAAAGCCATGAAACTCTTATCTCCAATAAACCACCAGAAAACCAGAAGTGGCTCTGTGGCTCTAGTGGTAGAGCGTTAGCCTTGAGCTGAAGAGCTGAGGGACAGTACCCAGGCCCAGAGTTCAAGCCCATAACCGACAAAAAAAAAAAAAAAAAAGAGAGAGATATTATTGCATTAAATGCATGGACAAAGCTGTCCTCAAACTTATCCGTAAGTGAATGGATAGAGCTGTCCATACGTCCAGTGCGACCCTGTCGATATCCATTTGTTGGCAGTGATGTTTGCTGCAGAAAGAAAAACATCTGTCCTAAAACTCAGGTCCTCAGAGAGGCCCCACACAGCAGCAACAATGCAAGGACTTCCAAACGCCGTGTGGGTAGTGATGTCGTGAGCGTGGCTGCAAAGCACGGATCACAAGAGGAAAAAGTAAACAAATGGGACAACATGAAAACAAAAGAAACTTCTGGAGCCATCATCGGAGTGGAAGAGCAGCCCACAGAAAGGGGGAGAAATCTTGCCAGCCATGATATGGTGATTATCAAGACACTGCTGACAGCCATCTGATGTTTGACAAAGGATTTCTGCTTTGTTTTTATTGGTCATGGGGCTTGAACTCAGGGCCTGGGCGCTGACCCTGAGCTCTTTTGCTCAAGGCTGGGGCTCTACCACTTTGAGTCAGTTTTCCAGTGGTTGATAGGAGGTAAGAGTCTCACGGACTTTTCTGCCCGGGCTGGCTTCAAACCGCGATCCTCTGATCTCAGCCTCCTGAGTAGCTGGGATGACAGGTGTGAGCCACCCGTGCCAGGTTGACAAAGGATTTTTGACAAGACAGTTTCAATAAATGGTGCTGGGAAAACAGGATATGAACCCATACCTTTGCCTCTCATCCTGTGTCAATACCAATTCAAAGTGGATTGAGGATTTAATGTAAGACCTGAAACTTAAAAATCACTGTGGGAAAGAGCAGAGAAAACACTAGAACGTATTGCACAGGCAGGAACTCTAATGGCTCGGAAAATAAGAGCAAGGATTGACAAATGGGATCGCATCAAACCAAGAAGCTCCTGCGCAGCAAGGAAAACAGTCACTAGATTGAAGAGACAGCCTACAGAACGAGGGAAAAATCTTTGCCAACAGCACAGCTGACAAGGGATTCACAACCAGAATATACAGGGAGCTCAAAAACTGAGCTCCCAGAGAACCAACAATCCAATTAGCAAGTGGATGAGTGAATGAAACAGACCATTCTTGAAGTACCAATGAAGAGATCCACAAAGAACTACATCAAGAAGTGCTCGTCATCCTGGCCACAAGGGAGATAGAAGCCAAGACAGCTGTGAGGCACCTCTCACTGAGCGGAACGGCCATCAACACAGACAGGAAGTGCTGGAGTGCACAGGGAGGGGTCTCATGAGCTGGAGGTGGGAATGTAAGCTAGCGTGAAAGCTAAAAACAGGGCACCACATGATGGCTCCAACAGGTACTGAAGGAACGGAGCCTAGGTAGAGAAGCAGCCCGACTCTTCACGATCGCCAAGCTCTAGAAACCGGCCAGATGGCCCTGCAACTGGCCAGTGAAGAAGCGAAGGTCGTCGCTGTACACAGGGGAGCGCTCTTCAGCCCCGTGGAGGAATGACACCATGTTGTTCCCAGAGAAGTGGACAGAACTAGAAACCACGGGAACAAAACTAGTTCAGGTTCAGAGGACAAAGGCCATATGCATCTTCTCACAGGTGGCCGCTAGACCTAAAAGATAAGCAAGCATGTGCAAGATCGTGCGCGTATACGTACACACGCGCACGCGTGCGTGCATACAGAATGCTTGTGATAAGAGACCACTTGAGGGGTGGCGGGGGAGGGGAGGGAGCACTAGAGGGTGAGCAACGCTGAAATGCACAGCCCTGTCAATGAAGATGACAAAACGAAGCCCCGAAAGCTGCTGTTGGGGGCGGATAGCGAGGGCCACACGGGTCAGTATGGTGAAAACGTGTGCAGCGTCACCGTGAAAACAGAACAATGAGCACCCGCTGAAGAACGGACGACAGGAACGGAGAGCAGGCGCCGTCTAGGACAGGGCACGGGCGTGGGGGGCGTGGGAAGAGGGACGTGGAGGGAGGGCAGGAGGGTGAGCGCAGTGACAATGCTTTACACGAAGCTGAGTGCGCGGGGAACAGAGCTGGCTGGGGCTGGCTTGGGGGGGAGCGAGGGAAAAGGAGGGCCGTGAATCTCAGCATGGTACCTCCGGCAGAGCCCACCCATACAGCTAGCTGACACTAGTGAAAGACACAAAAACTCAAAAAGTGATGTGAAGTTGCCTGCCAGTGAGCCACGCCTGTCATCCCAGCGACTCAGGAGGCTGAAATCTGAGAGTCACGGTTCAAAGCCAGCCCGGGCAGGAAAGTCAGTGAGACTCTTATCTCCAATAAACCACCAGAAAACCAAAGTGGCGTGTGGCTCACGCGGTAGAGCGCTCGCCTGGAGCACACACGCTTCAGGACAGCGCCCAGGCCGAGTTCAAGCCTCAGGATCAGTGCGCTCCCGCTCCCTCTCTCTCTCTCTCTCTCTCACACACACACACACACACACACACACACACACACAAGACAAATCCTGCATGCTTCCATTTATTCGGGTCCCTACCAGAGTCAGATTCACAGGGACAAGAGCTGAGCAGGGGGGGCTGGGTGGGGGCTGGGTGGGGGCTGTGGTGGGGGCTGTGGTGGGGGCTGGGTGGGGGCTGTGGTGGGGGGCTGGGTGGGGGCTGTGGGTGGGGGCTGGGTGGGGGGCTGGGTGGGGGCTGTGGTGGGGGCTGGGTGGGGGCTGGGTGAGGGCTGGGTGGGGGCTGGGTGGGGGCTGGGTGGGGGCTGTGGTGGGGGGCTGGGTGGGGGCTGTGGTGGGGGCTGTGGTGGGGGGCTGTGGTGGGGGCTGGGTGGGGGCTGTGGTGGGGGCTGGGTGGGGGCTGGGTGGGGGCTGGGTGGGGGCTGGGTGGGGGCTGTGGTGGGGGGCTGGGTGGGGGCTGTGGTGGGGGCTGGGTGGGGGCTGTGGTGGGGGCTGGGTGGGGGCTGTGGTGGGGGGCTGGGTGGGGGCTGTGGTGGGGGCTGGGTGGGGGCTGTGGTGGGGGGCTGGGTGGGGGCTGGGTGGGGGCTGTGGTGGGGGCTGGGTGGGGGCTGTGGTGGGGGCTGGGTGGGGGGCTGGGTGGGGGCTGTGGTGGGGGCTGGGTGGGGGCTGTGGTGGGGGCTGTGGTGGGGGGCTGTGGTGAGGGCTGTGGTGGGGGCTGGGTGGTGGGCTGTGGTGGGGGGCTGTGGTGGGGGCTGGGTGGGGGCTGGGTGGGGGGCTGGGTGGGGGCTGTGGTGGGGGCTGGGTGGGGGGCTGTGGTGGGGGCTGTGGTGGGGGGCTGGGTGGGGGGCTGGGTGGGGGGCTGTGGTGGGGGCTGGGTAGGGGGCTGTGGTGGGGGGCTGTGGTGGGGGGTTGTGGTGGGGGCTGTGGTGGGGGCTGGGTGGGGGGCTGGGTGGGGGGCTGTGGTGGGGGCTGGGTGGGGGGCTGTGGTGGGGGGCTGGGTGGGGGCTGGGTGGGGGCTGGGTGGGGGGCTGGGTGGGGGCTGTGGTGGGGGCTGTGGTGGGGGCTGGGTGGGGGCTGGGTGGGGGGCTGGGTGGGGGCTGGGTGGGGGCTGGGTGGGGGCTGGGTGGGGGGCTGGGTGGGGGCTGGGTGGTGGGCTGTGGTGGGGGGCTGGGTGGTGGGCTGTGGTGGGGGCTGTGGTGGGGGGCTGTGGTGGGGGCTGTGGTGGGGGGCTGTGGTGGGGGCTGGGTGGGGGCTGTGGTGGGGGCTGTTTGGGGGGCTGTGGTGGGGGCTGGGTGGGGGGCTGGGTGGGGGCTGGGTGGGGGGCTGTGGTGGGGGCTGGGTGGGGGCTGGGTGGGGGCTGGGTGGGGGCTGGTTGGGGGCTGGGTGGGGGGCTGTGGTGGGGGCTGGGTGGGGGGCTGTGGTGGGGGCTGTGGTGGGGGGCTGGGTGGGGGCTGGGTGGTGGGCTGTGGTGGGGGCTGGGTGGTGGGCTGTGGTGGGGGCTGTGGTGGGGGGCTGGGTGGGGGCTGGGTGGTGGGCTGTGGTGGGGGCTGGGTGGTGGGCTATGGTGGGGGCTGGGTGGTGGGCTGTGGTGGGGGCTGTGGTGGGGGGCTGGGTGGGGGCTGGGTGGTGGGCTATGGTGGGGGCTGGGTGGTGGGCTGTGGTGGGGGCTGGGTGGTGGGCTGTGGTGGGGGCTGTGGTGGGGGGCTGTGGTGGGGGCTGTGGTGGGGGGCTGTGGTGGGGGCTGGGTGGGGGCTGTGGTGGGGGGCTGTGGTGGGGGCTGTGGTGGGGGGCTGTGGTGGGGGCTGGGTGGGGGCTGTGGTGGGGGCTGTTTGGGGGGCTGTGGTGGGGGCTGGGTGGGGGGCTGTGGTGGGGGCTGGGTGGGGGGCTGTGGTGGGGGGCTGGGTGGGGGCTGGGTGGGGGCTGTGGTGGGGGCTGGGTGGGGGGCTGTGGTGGGGGGCTGTGGTGGGGGCTGTGGTGGGGGCTGTGGTGGGGGCTGTGGTAGGGGGCTGGGTGGGGAGCTATGGTGGGGGCTGTGGTGGGGGCTGTGGTGGGGGCTGGGTGGGGGCTGTGGTGGGGGCTGGGTGGGGGCTGAGTGGGGGGCTGTGGTGGGGGCTGGGTGGGGGGCTGGGTAGGGGCTGGGTGGGAGGCTGGGTGGGGGCTGGGTGGGGGGCTGTGGTGGGGGCTGTTTGGGGGGCTGGGTGGGGGCTGGGTGGGGGGCTGGGTAGGGGGCTGGGTGGGGGGCTGTGGAGCTGGTGTTTTGCAGGGACAGAATTTTAGCTGGGGAAGCAGAAGAGATCTGGAGATGGTCCATTTCATGCTTTTGGGGGGGGGGTTGGTCATGGGGCTTGAACTTGGCCTGGGCACTGTCCCTGAGCTCTTCAGCTCAAGTGAGCCATGGTACCACTTCTGGTTTGTTGGTGGTTCATTGGAGATAAGAGTCCCACAGACTTGCCTGCCTGGGCTGGCTTTGAATTGTGATCCTCAGCTCTCAACCTCCTGAGTAGCTAGGATGACAGGCGTGAGCCACCAGCACCCGGCTTATGCTATGTATTTTAAAAGCATAATTTAAAAATTCCCCAAGTTTTAGGGGTCCCATTAAGTAGAGAGCCCCAGAGCCCAGGGGTGTGGGATGCACCCGAGGGAGGCCAGGCAGCATGGACCACAGCAGCGTCAGGAAGAGGAGCCCTGGCTGTGGTCTTGGCACGCTCCCCAAGTCACTGCACAGAGCCAGGAGAGGCCTCTGGACTTCCAGGGACTTCCTCTGACCTCTGACTGCTGGGGATTTGCACAAATGCCTCCTGCCCGGGGCTCTGTTGCCAAGACCGGCTCCTGGTCCTGAGGCGTGGACATCCACTCTGAGCCGCCCCCAGCCGCCCGTCCAGCGGCTCCGCTTCACCTTCTCCTCCCTCGCATTTGCCTCTGAACACTACCGCGCTGTGTGAGCTCAGCAGTGCTCGGCTGCCTGTGCCAGGGCTGACCCCTCCGCTGACCCCTCCGCTGACCCCCTCTGCTGACCCTGGTGCCCAGCATCCCACGGAGTGACCTGGTGACTGAGGGATGTGGGGAGGGGGAGCGGAGTGGAGCGGGGCCTCTGGGCCCCCGGCACTCCAGTGCCTTGCTCCAGCAGCACTGGCCACCCTTGCTGACCTCTGACCCCAGGTTACGTACTCAAGACCCGGACGCCGTGCCTCAGGGCCTGGATCCTGCCGGGCTCCATGCTCATGCTGAAGGTGCTGGGCTGGGCCCCTGCGGCACACACTCGGCCCTGCTCGGCGGCCTGGCGCACCATGACGGTCAGCTTGTTGGCGATGACAGTGTTGAGGACGGAGATGACCACCATGGGGAACACGAAGGACGTGAAGGTGTTGATCTGCAGGAGGCAACAGCAGCCATGGGGGGGGATCGAGGCACGTGCCCACCCAGCTGGTCGTCATGGCCAGGCTCAGGGCCTGCGGCAGGGAGGCCGGGAGGACCTGCCCTGTCCAGGGCCCCGTCCAGGTTGTGCTGCAGGCCAGCCCCCTGGCGCCCCATCCACCCACATCCAGAGGAGGGGGACCTCGGTTACACTGGCAAGCTCCCGGCCGCTCCCACCGGCTCCGAGTTGCACAAACCCCAGGGGTCCCAGCGGCCTGAAGCTTTGGGCTGAGTTCCCAGGGGCAGACAGGTATGTCCACCTCCCCAGCCCCAAGTTCAAGGCCACTCCAAGGAGGCTGAAGCTGTGGCTCCCCCTTGCAGGCGGAGAGTTCATGTCCTTGGAGAAACACATGATCCTCTTCCTCCCCACTGCCGAGGGCATGGGCAGTGCCAGCCCCTCCCACCACCACTTCCAACTTCCACATCCATTCTGCTTCTGGGGAAACTGAGTCTGAGATAGGCCTCCAGAGTGGCCGGACCTGAAGTCTTCATCTTTTTGTGGTACTGGGGTTTGAGTTTGGCCTCACCATTACCAAGCAGGTGTCCGATCACTTGGCGATCCCTCTAGCCCCTTGGGTCTGGGAGCCAGCCCAGGCACCCTGAAGCCCCCAGCCCCGGCCCCTGCCTCGGGCAGCTCCAGACCCCACTCAGCAGGACTCTGAGGAGGAGGCCTGAGTTCACCTTCAAGTCTCAGCTTCCCAAAGACAGGATGAAGAGCCCCGAGGGCAGAGCTCTGGCAGCCCCGTGGGCGGAGGGGGGTCTTTTCCCCAGAGTGGGGGTCTGGAGCCTGTGGCCCCCTGCCATTGCAATCCACCTCCTGCCCGGTGAGAGGTCCTCTGCCCGCTCACCGGCGCCGGGTCTGGTCTCAGGAGACAACGCAATGCCGGAGTCATTGCAGCCGGGGAAGAGCTGAACAGCGCGAGTGTGCCCAACACAGGTTCTAAATGTCAAAACACTGAACACACCACACACCTCACCCAGCACAGGTAGCAAAAACAGCTCCCGATGGGGGCTAGCAGGGCCCAGCGTGGAGCCCAGGTGGGGCCCAGGCCTCCTAGCTCCCAACCCCTCCATGCTTCCTACCCTGCAGGGGAGAGGCCCAGCCTGCAGCCCCTGCGTGGGTGGGTCCGGCGGGCATGGTCCCGTAGAGGGTGTGACCCCAGCAGATGAGGAGCGTATCCAACAGCTCTGTTGGCACCAGGAAAGGCCGTGCTGGGATTCATACCTCCCATCTCTGCACCTGCAATGCGGGGTTCTGAGCATGTCTGTTATGAATGGTGACAAGTGTCAAGCTAAGGAACAAACCCCACGCTTCACACGGTCCTTTTGGGTTAGAACACCTCAGATCTGCTCTTGTCCCAAATGTGCACAGAATGAGGTGGCCATCGATGACACGCGCTGTGAGATCGCCAGAGCCTGGCCCCCGGCAGAACCGAGAGCTCCTGTTGTCTAACCAGCATTGATCGCTGCCCATCCCCTGCCCTGGCGGCCACCATGCTGCTCTGCTCCCACAGGTAAGACCACACAGCGTAGAAGGGCAGACACAGGAAGGGCCCTGGGCCACAAGGTTAGCCACGTCTCCAAAAAGAGAGAGAAGCGGGGGAGGGTAGGAGGAGGAAGGAAAAGGAAAGAAAGATACCACGGGCTAGTAAGACCCAAGTTCTCAGGTGAAAGTTAGAATTTTGGAACACGCTGATAAGATCACTGGTAAAGTTAAGAAATGTGGATTTTTTTGGTGGTACTGGAGTTTGAACTCAAGGCCCTGTACTTGCTAGGCAGCTGCTCACCACTTGAGCTACAGCCATTCTTGCCTAAGCTATTGTTTGGAAAGAATCTTGCATTTTTGCCCAGGGACCGCCTGGGACAGTGGCCCTCCCACCAACCGTCTTGCGGTGAATCTGGCATTCCAGCGGTGAGCTACCACACCCAGCTGGATTGTTGACATCAGGGTTCCATCAAGCAACATTAAAAAGATGCACAAGACCATAACACAACTCTCATCAAATTTCAGTGTGTTTTGGAAAAAAACTGCCAAGCTGAGGATGGAGCTCAGAGGGAGAGGATATGCCTGCACAGGGCCCCTGGTTCTGCCCACAGCATGTGCAAACACACACACACACACACACACACACACACGTGCATGCACACAAAACACATGCATGTGTGCAGACCCATGCATGCACACACATGACACAAGACACAGTGCATGCGCGCGTGCGCGCGCACACACACACACACACACACACACACATGCACACAAGAATACTTTGCATAGCCGGGCACCGGTGGCTGATGCCTGTAATCCTAGTTACTTAGGAAGCTGAGATCTGAGGCTCGTGGTTCAAAGCCAGCCCTGGCAAGAAAGTTCGTGAGACTCTTATCTCCAATAAACCACTAGAAAACCGGAACTGGTACTGTGGCTCAAGCAGTAGAGCACTCACCTTGAGCTGAAGAGCACAAGGACAGTGCCCAAACCCAGAGTTCAAGCCCCACGACTGACAAAAAAAAAAAAATACTTTGCATATTTGGGGTCTCAGGATGGTCTTCTCACGACTATGCAAACCGTGACTGGATTTTGGTAGGGAATGCCCTGCAGCTGTGTCTTTCCTTCTGTATTTCCTTTCATTTTTGTTCATCAGTGTTTTATAATTTTGCAGATTTTTCAACCCCTTGGTTCAATTTATTCTGGAGAATTTAATTTCTTGTTGCTATTGTAAATAGAGTTGCTTTTGGTTTCTTTCCTAGTTTATTGCTAGTGTGTAGACACAATCCATTTTTGTGATGCTGTAGCGTATGAAATGTGGCATATTTTGCTTCTCTGTGTCCCGTAGCAATGCTTAATTTGCTCATTAGTTCTAATGGCTTTTCGGTACCATCTTGAGGGTTTTCTATAATAACATCATGTTGTCAGCAAACAGACAATTTCACTTCTTTATCGCTTTCTCCTGACACAGTGCTGCTTAGCTGTGCTGGATCAGCGGGGAGAGTGGTCTCCAGTCCTGATCCCGGAGAAAAGCTCCTGTGACGCTGGGGGTGGTGTGTGTCCCTCTTTACTGTGGGGGGTGCAGTTTACTGAGTTCTCAGTTTGACTCTTATCATGAAGGATGATGAATTTCTTTTTAAGTTTTTAAGTTGTTATGTATGGTGGGGTTACAGTTGCAGGATGGTGAATTTTGACAGATGCATTTTCTGTATCTATTGAGACACTCTTACAAATTTTAACCCTGGGTTTTATAAATGTGACGTATCAATGTATCAACCAGTGAATGTTGAAACATCCAAGACAAATCCCAGCCTCAGCAGGAATTTAAGCCCAGGGCAAGGCTGGAGGTCACCTGGCTGGATTGGTGTTGGCATCTGGTGAGGCCTTGGCTTGCAGTGACCTGTCTCTCCTGTGCCTGTCTGCGGCCAGGGCACTGCAGTGCTGGCTGGGTGTTGGCCAGTGAATGAGTGCTCTAGGACGCTGGGTTGGTGGGGTGTACCAAGCACGTATGGCATCCATGCCTGGACCCAGAAACCCCGAGGACATCTCAGCTCCCCGCGCCCCCATCTGCCAGCCACACCTCCCAGCTGGTACTGGACACTCCTGAGCACCAGCAGGGCCTCTGGGCGGTGGCCGGGCACCTGGGAGCAGGGGTCTGTGAGTTGTGGTGGGGACGTGAACCTCAGGGAGATGGAGCCCCAGCCAGTTCTTGGGCAGCTGTGACGTCGGGCTGGTCCTAAACAGAACTCCAGCCCTTTTTCCTGAGCAGACTCTGCTTTCTCATTTCTGCACGAGGACCCCACAGGTGCTGAGCCCTGAGACTGAGCATGTGTAAACCAACAGAACCCAAGGTGGTCACCAGGGGCAAGGCAAGGGCTGGGTTGGGTCTGGGCCTCTGCCCTGCTTGCATTTGTTCTTTTGTGGGGAGGAGAGAGGCAGAGGGAAAGGGTAAGATAATCACAAAGGGCCTGTGCTTCTGTGCAGCGGGTGTGAGCTTGCTGGGCCCCATCTTGCTAGGACAGGGCAGGAGGGGAAGATACACACAACATACCTGTCAGCAGGCGCAGGCCCGCCCGCTGCGGTGCAGGCCAGCCCGCTGCAGGAGGTGCTCTGACCCAGGCTGAGGATGGACCGGAGCCCGGAGCCTGCCCGCTCGCTGTGGTGCTGGGCTGCCTGCTGCAGGAGGTGCTCTGACCCAGGCTGAGGATGGACGGGAGCCCCGAGCCCGCCTGCTGCGGTGCTGGCCCGCCCGCTGCGGTGCTGGCCCGCCCGCTGCAGGAGGTGCTCTGACCCAGGCTGAGGATGGACGGGAGCCCCGAGCCCGCCCGCTGCGGTGCTGGCCCGCCCGCTGCGGTGCTGGCCCGCCCGCTGCAGGAGGTGCTCTGACCCAGGCTGAGGATGGCCCGGAGCCCCGAGCCCGCCCGCTGCGCCCGCTGCGGTGCTGGCCCGCCCGCTGCGGTGCTGGCCCGCCCGCTGCAGGAGGTGCTCTGACCCAGGCTGAGGGTGGCCCAGAGCCCCAAGCCCGCCAGGTACTGCCTCTCCCCACCGTCTTCCCTTGCTCTGCACGGTGTCATTTGTTTTACCCTGGGCCTTTTTCTACCTAACGAATCCTGATGTGTTTAGATAGACAACCCTGACTCCTGCCCGCAACCGGCCCGTGCGAGGTGGTAGTGGAGGGCGGGGGTGGGGTGTCCAGACTCTATTGGGAGGTTTGCAAATCCCAGAACTTCCCAAGAAGGGCGAGGTGAGAAAACCTGCCACAGTGGGGACCCCCACGATGCCCGCAGGACCGGCTGGGGCCCACATGACAGGGGTGGCCCCTCGTCCAACCTTGGTGGTCAGCATGTGAAATCTGGGAGGCAGAAACTATTATTTCCCTCCTTTTGTGGGGGGAGAAACAAGGGCCATTTGTGAACCCAGACTCAAAGCCCACAGCCTGAGCAGTGGCTGGTGCACAGAGTAACTGTCTACAAGCCGACAAACGAACACATAAGCACCCGCCACGCACAGACCACGAGCCAGACCAGGCAGTGACTCCATCCCAGAAAGATGCCCTGGGCCATGAGTCCTTGGGCCTCTCCTAGGCTGACCCTGCTCAGCAGCCTCTGGCCATGTTCCTCATGTACCTGTCACCTGCCACCTGGTCCCTGACCTTCTCCTCTGGTTTGGGATTTCTGGGAGCAGCTGGACCACAGTGTCTGGGGTCACTGACAAGAGGCTTCAGAGCCCCAGAGAGCTCAGGAAGTCAGCACCACGGACAGCACCCAGACACGCCCAAGGGCTGCTAACCAGCAGAGCCCAGAGCTGAGGCAGGAGTCTGGGCAAGGCATGTGCCTACTGGGGCAGGGACTTTACCAGGGACAGCTGGGCCTGGCCGCTCCTCTGAGTGAGGCAGACAGGCGGAGACAAGCGGTGGCAACCTCCTTCCACCTGCAGCCCTGGCCTGGAGAGCTGACCACAGAGGCCACTGAGCTTGAGCCCCGAGGAACAGAAAGCCCTCAGGGTCACAGCCTGTCGGTGTCACGCTGTGCCACGCAAACTGGCACCACTCCCACTGCTGGGAGGCCACCAACTCAGCTCAGAGGCCTGAATCGGATTGGGGTCACCTTCCTGAAAGCCCTGGACTGTCCACCTGCTCCATGCTGACGCTCTCAGGGCTGCCCCGCACCCACCCTCCCTGCAGGAGTGGTGAGGGCCTGGCCTCCATCAGAGCCCTTGTCAGCCGGGAGTGCGTGGATACTGACTCGGAGCAACGCAGGCGGTGCCTTCGGTCTTTCACAGATGGACCAAAGCCACGCGCATCTGGGAGCCAGCCCTCTGGGACAAAGATCTGCCTGCCATGGCTTCAAATATCTGCTGGCCAAAAAAGCCCACTAGAATGTTCCTGTCTGCGGGGCGCCTGCAAAGCTGCGGCTGGCAGGGCTTTGAGATCCTCGTCCAGGCCAGCGGCAGCTCAGAGCCAGGAGCTGGGGCCGTGGCTCTGCCCTCTCGTTCCCCGTGTGCCCAGCAGTGGGGGGCAGGAGGGGCCCTGCTGCTGGCCAACGCCCACTCTGCTCTGCAGGAAGCCACCGCCCACACTGTGCAGCTGCGGTGAGTTCAAGGCCCCGCTCTACCTCTGGCTCCGCAGGAGAATGCCCTTTGCCTAACAGCCCCAATTTTGCGCCTGTCAGCTGCTGTGTGCTGGTCTCTGAAGCTTGAGCTACTTCAATAAGATTTGCTAATAAGCCCTTCATTTGCATTTTCTAAAACTGAGCAGTAATTTGACTTCAAAGGATTAAACAGGAGGCCAAGTCACTCAGCACAGCAGGCTTCCAGCCTTAGCCTGTGCCCTGGCCAGAAGCTGAGCCCAGGGTCAGTCTGCTCTGTGCCAGGGAGCCTGGGGCCTACGGACACTGCTATGGACGTCCAGGGTTTGCGCAAAGCCTGGGACCAAGGAGGCGAGGCTCTGAAAAGCTGAGCAGAGGGCTGGGCTGCAAGGCTGGGCAGGGTAGGGCTGGGGCAGGGCTCCGCCAGGGAGCTCAGAACATACACTTAGTTCCTGTCCTGTGCCCAGCCACAGCCCGGCTCTGTGGCCGCAGCGGAAACTCCAGCCCCACAATTTCCAGGGCTGTTTTGCCTTGAATTGTGTGGGCCATTTAGCAAATATCCTGTTCCTCCCGGTGGCTAATTACCAACCACTGGCAAAGTTGGCCACTCTGCTTCCCCGGGGACACTGGGCACTGCCCTGTGTGTCAGGCGCTTCCATAGAATTATGGCACAGGCCTGCTTAGCAAATCTGATTACACCAGACACACAGCCACACAGCTGAGCGTTGTTACCCACCAGAAGAGGACCAGGGGAGGAGTGAGGGGCGACTCCCCCCTCTCCCTCCCCCGCCAGCCTCCAGCACAGACAGGGCCTCAACCCAACTCAGATCAAACTAGGCTCTTGTCTTGCCAGCCCACCAGACCCCAGCCCCCCCAGATAGGTGATGCTTCATGCTTCAGCCCGGCCACCTCAGGGCTGCCGGACTATGGGGTTGCAGGCATCCCTTCCTGCTCGGGAAGGGGTTAGAAGTGCTCTGCTGGCCATGCTCGGCCCCAGGCTGAGCCCCAGGGCTCATCTGGAGCCTGAGGTTGTAAGAACGGGGGCCTGTGCGCCCCCACAGGGGCTCAGAGTGCTTCTCTCTGCCCAGGCCGCACTTTCCTCCCCGCTTCGCCCCACAAGCCCCCACCCTGTTCCCCTCCCACTTCTGTTTTTCCTTCACAGCTTTCTCCGCAGCAGTGAGCAGCGAGCAGCGAACAGGCTCTTCCAGCTTGTGGATGGCATAGCTTGTGAACTCCTCCACGTGCATGTGGAGGGGATGGTGGCTGGGCCGGGCTTGCTCCCACTACTTCTCCTAGATAGGGGAGAGAAGAGAAGGCCACCAGGGTTTGCACTTTGCCCCAGTACCTTCCTCCTCTTTGCGGGCTGGGCGTCCTTTCTCCCTGTGACGGAGGGAGGCAGGCAAATCTCTGGCTCTGACCCTGACCCTCTTTGGCTACCGAGGGTAGCTCAAAGGCCAAGCCACGCCTTGAGGCCCAGCATGAGCCTGGGGTAATGTGGTCACTACTCTGGCTCCAACGTCACCGTCGGCGGGGCAGAGGGAGGCTGATGCCTGGGGCTGTCACCCATCACCTGGCAAGGTGTTTGCATGGAGTGTTGGCAGCAGGAGGAAGCTGAGGCCTCTGCTACAGACCCCGGCTTTCAGGCCCTGCCGAGTCTGCTTTCTGGAGCCTCCAGCTGCTCATCGGCTCATCCTTTCCTCCGGCGGGAGAGCAGGGGGCAGAGCCAATCTCGGGAAGCAAGTCTGCGCCTCACAGACCTCCCCTGAGGACAGGCAATGAGTGCTGATTGCTGGGCCCAGCTGGGAGGCAGGTCCAGCTGTCAGCGCAGGCCGGAGCTCGGAGCAGGCACGGCAGGCTCTCCCCAGAATGTTCCAGAACTCTCTGACTGAATCTGCCTCCTGTCTATTCCACCCAGCCCCTCCCAGCCTCCCATCGACTCCAGCCCCTCCCAGCCTCCCATGGACCTCCACCCAACCCTCCCAGCCTCCCATGGACTCCAGCCCCTCCCAGCCTCCCATCCACTCCAGCCCCTCCCAGCCTCCCATCCACTCCAGCCCCTCCCAGCCTCCCATGGACTCCACCCAACCCTCCCAGCCTCCCATCCACTCTAGCCGCTCCCAGCCTCCCATGGACTCCAGCCCCTCCCAGCCTCCCATCCACTCCAGCCCCTCCCAGCCTCCCATCCACTCCAGCCCCTCCCAGCCTCCCATGGACTCCACCCAACCCTCCCAGCCTCCCATCCACTCTAGCAGCTCCCAGCCTCCCATCCACTCCAGCCCCTCCCAGCCTCCCATCCACTCCAGCCAGCCCCTCCCAGCCTCCCATCCACTCCAGCCCCTCCCAGCCTCCCATGGACTCCACTCAGCCCCTCCCAGCCTCCCATCCACTCCAGCCCCTCCCAGCCTCCCATCCACTCCAGCCGCTCCCAGCCTCCCATGGACTCCAGCCCCTCCCAGCCTCCCATCCACTCCAGCCCCTCCCAGCCTCCCATCCACTCCAGCCCCTCCCAGCCTCCCATGGACTCCACTCAGCCCCTCCCAGCCTCCCATGGACTCCACTCAGCCCCTCCCAGCCTCCCATCGATTCCACCCAACCCTCCCAGCCTCCCATCCACTCAGCCCCTCCCAGCCTCCCATGGACTCCAGCCCCTCCCAGCCTCCCATGGACTCCACTCAGCCCCTCCCAGCCTCCCATCCACTCCAGCCCCTCCCAGCCTCCCATCCACTCCAGCCAGCCCCTCCCAGCCTCCCATCCACTCCAGCCAGCCCCTCCCAGCCTCCCATGGACTCCAGCCCCTCCCAGCCTCCCATGGACTCCAGCCCCTCCCAGCCTCCCATCCACTCCAGCCCCTCCCAGCCTCCCATCCACTCCAGCCGCTCCCAGCCTCCCATGGACTCCACCCAACCCTCCCAGCCTCCCATGGACTCCAGCCCCTCCCAGCCTCCCATGGACTCCAGCCCCTCCCAGCCTCCTCTGCCCTCTGGCATCCTTGCAGCACTGTGTGCACAAGCTCACTTCTTTCTCGTTCCCACAGACATTTAGGAAGCACCTGCTGTGTACGAGGTGCCCTGCCCACAGCAGTGAGAGGGAGCTGGGCAGGCAAACATGAGCATGAGAAGGGAAGAGCGGAGGTGGGCCAGGCCGCAGGCGGGCAGGAGGCCGAGGGGGCCTGATCACAGGGGGGTTGATGGGGTTGCTTTCTGACAAGGGTGCTAACACAGACCTGTGGCTCTGAACACAGAGGGAAGGCAGGGAAGGACCAGGCCGGGGCTGGTGCTGAGCAGAGGAGAGCCAGCTCTGGGCAGGGCGCATGGCTCTCCGGCCTTGCCGTGGGTCTGCCACGGTGGTAGGTCCACGAAGGCCGGTCTGCTGCGGGGCAGGCTCAGGGCTGGTTTGAGTGCTGAGTGGTCAAGAGAGGCCCCATGGTGGTCCTGTTCCTGCCACTGGGCTGACAAAGCTAAGCTTTGTGAGGTGTGCCGAGACCGACCACACAGCCATCAAATCGACAGTGGGAAGCAGTCAGACACCACTGCTGTTCTAGCACAGCCGCCCACAGATGTTTTCTGTAAAGGACCAGAGAGCAGAGGACTTTGGCTTTCTGGACAGATGATCCTTGTCACAATGGCTCAGCCAGGTCATTGTAGCCTGAACCTAGCCATAAACAATGTGTAAGTGAGCAGGTGGGCTGCCTGCCAATAACGCTTTATTTACAGCTGTAGATGGGACCCAGAGCTGACTCAGGGGCATTTGCTGCCCCTGTGGGAACCACAGCACACACAGCACTATCTGTCCAGGAGAAGCTGGGACTGAGGTGATCAACAATGATCACGGCCTGCATCCTGTGCGGAATGACTATGGTCTGTGTCCCCTGTGGAAGAGCGATGTGTTCTGTGTGGAATGATCAGGGTCTGCCTCCCGTGTGGAAGATAGATGGTCCGTGGTCTGTGTGGAGGGCCCAGGGTCTGTGTCCTGTGTGGAAGATGGATGGACCGTGTTCTGTGTGGGATGATCATGGTCTGTGTCCTGTTGGAAGATGGATGGACCGTGTTCTTTCTGTATGAAGGGCCCAGGGTCTGCATCCTGTGGGAAGGATCGGGAACAATAAACAGGAAGAGCCAGATTGTGTTGAGCGTGTTAGGTAGGGTTCCCCTGGGGGGAGTGGGAACACTGTCTCTCCCACCAGCCTTTCTCCTCCCACTCTGGTGTCCAATGGGCCATGACTGGCAGCACGTGGTGGACCAGGTTCACCAGCCACTCCCACGGAGCCGGGGTTACAGGAGCCGCTTTCTTCCCTTCCTTTCCTTCTTCTCATCCAGGGTGGTTCAAAACCACCCTGAGAGCCGGGCGCTGGTGGCTCACGCCTGTAATCCTAGCTACTCAGGAGGCTGAGATCTGAGGATCGTGGTTAAAAGCCAGCCTGGGCAGGAAAGACCGTGAGATTCCTATCTCCAATAAACCACCAGAAAACCGGAAGTGGCGCTGTAGCTCAAGTATAGAGCGCTCGCCTTGAGTTGAAGAGCTGAGGGACAGCGCCCAGGCCCAGAGTTCAAGCCCCACGACCGACAAAAAAAAAACAAAAAACAAAAAACAAAAAAAACAAAACCACCCTGAGTAAGAACTTTGGTGGAGCCAGGAGAGGGGTTTGTCTTGTGCATTAGCCCAGCCCCTCTGCCGCTGCCTGCCTGTGGCCCTGTGGACGGCACCCCTGACCCGGCCCCGTAGCTCTCAGGGCGGCACCCCTGACCCGGCCCTGTAGCTCTCAGGGCGGCACCCCTGACCCGGCCCCGTAGCTCTCAGGGCGGCACCCCTGACCCGGCCCCGTAGCTCTCAGGGCGGCACCCCTGACCCGGCCCCGTAGCTCTCAGGGCCGCACCCCTGCGGTTGTGCACATAGCCGCACCTGAGGAGTCTGGCCCACGTACGTCTCCCCTGCCTGTGTCCCCTGGGCCAGTGGCTCCTCCTGGTGTCTTCCATCTGACCAGCTGCATTCTCTCCAAGGGGAAACATCCCGCCAGACTTCTTTCCTATCAGGACCCAGGCCTGAGATGTAGGCCAGACTTGCTCCAATCCCGGTCTCTGCAAGAACCCAGCGGCCTAACTTCCCTTGGACGTTGCAGGCGGTCAGTCACCCTGCTAGGAGGCCCGGTCAAGCATGTCCAAGGGGGACATGGACTGAGATCTGCCCACTTCAGTAGCGTTCAGAATAAACCATGGCGTCCAGACCTTCTTCTAGGGGAGGAGGGAGCTCCCTGCCCCCCCTGGCCGGACAATGAGTGCTGTAGCCACAGGGCAGGCTGAGTTGCCTGGAAACACGGGGTCAGCCGCTGGCTCTCCAGGTGGCTGGCTTGCGTCTCCACCACTAACCTGCATGGTAATTGCAGCCTCGAAGCTTTATCCCAGACACAGCATGGACAGGCAGCACTGGCCAGGTTCTTGGGGGGGGAGGGGAGCGGGGCCCAGCCCTGCCAATCCCGTTGCCTGGGCAGTGAGCAGTCTCCTCTGATGGCTTTGAAATGGCCACTTGAAGTCACTCAGACCTTGGTCTACAATTTCTCCTGGACCGTGGCAGCTACAGGGGAGAGTGATGCTGGGCTGAGGGTGGATTTCTACAACTGAAAGTCAGGCTCAAGGTCACCCTGGGGCTGGGAGGGAGTGGGCTGAGTGGCCCTTTCCCATGATACCTGCTCTGTCCCCAGCTGGTGCTCACGGGAGCCCGTGCTGCTGCTGGTGGCATGCTTGCTGGCTCACACCACCTCTGTGCTGTGTCCTTGAAGCTGCACACACGTGTGCATGGGCTCACACACACAGGGACACATGGGCACAACCTCACGTGAAACCCAAGGGCCACCCAGGGTCCTGAGGACCTCCGAGCCATAATGGAGACAATCATCTTGGACGACTGACACGGAGCACTGAGTTAGGAGGGGACTGGCCGCGTGGTACAGCTGCTACTGAGAGGACCTCGAGCAAAGCTGTAGGCACTGATTGAAGCCAATGTGTCTGGGCTATTTTGTTATACAGAAGAGGCTCACGGGCTGTGGCCCTGGCTCGGAGCATATTCTCATGTGTCTGCACCCCCTCCAGGGTTTCCCCTGCAGAGGCCGGCCCTTGCTCAAATAAAACTCTGGAAGGGCAGGTGGGGTGTGGCGGGGGCAGGGGACCCTGCTCTGAATCACCCAGGGTCGGCCGGTTTTAGAGATGGCAGTGCGGTGTCTGTGCGGCCTCTGGCACGCTGGGCCTGGCCTTGC